TTCTTTCTGGAAAAGGTAAGTTCTGCAAATCTGGAGCTGGTTGAACAGATCTGGTTGGTTGGACAGTGGGCACAATCTTCCCACTGTCGGGTTTTCCAACAAAAAGCTGCATATTACTGGAAATTGAAACAGGGACTGTTTTCTGGACAGAAACAGATTTTTGAGTTTCTTCCGTGCTGCCCTTCATTCGCTTCGCCAACTGCATCAAACAGCAACAGCAGCGCCTGCTTCCCGTGTTCTTCGTTTTTCGGCTGTCCAAACAGCAAACAGCAGCTTCTGTGCTGTCCTTTGTTTGCTTCGCCAACTACATCAAATAGCAGCAGCAAGAGGAAGGGCTGTTGTGTCCTTTTCGATCGACATCAAACAGCAGCAGTCATAAAGACAGCAGCCTTGCTGTCTCCATCCATATTCTTGCAGCAGCAACGACATCGAGTAGCAGCAGTCGTGAAGACATCAGCCTTGCTGTCTCCGTCCATCTTCTCGTAGCAACAGCCGCCCCCCTTCGCACCGTCTTTCGCTGTTGCATCGCGTTTACAGCAACCGCGGCTGAGCTGTTACTGGGCTGCTCTGCCAAGTAGTAGCTACTGCTGTCTATTTCGTCGCTGTCCGCCAAGCAACAAACAACAAACTTTGTTGTGCTATTACCTCGATCACCTTACCGAGCAGCAGTAGCTGCTGTGTCTGCCAAGCATCAAATAGCAACCTGCTGTGTTTGCCCCTGCGTTACCGCGCCCAAACAACCGGTTGTGTTGCCCTTTCACTACCTCGTCAAAACAGCAGCATTAGCTGTGTTTTCCTACGCCCTCTCAACCAAACAGCAGCATCAGTAGCTGTTGTATCGAGCTACTGTGCTGCCCATCCTGCGATGTGAGTTCATTCTATCCCTCGATAAAGTTACTTACATGTTATTGTGAATATGATAAATTAGCCTATGGACTCTGTGTTTAGACCAGATTGGGATGGAAGAGGTTATTCTAGGTTTAAACGGATTGAATTCTGGAAAATGGTTACGATCGTTTGGTAAAATGCTTAATTTAAGATACTTTATACTAGGGGACTCTAGTACTCTTATGTCATACAACTGGTGATCTTTAACGGTAGTAGAGGAACATTTTTCTAAATGATGGACTCACGCATAGTTTTAATGTTGAAATAATGTTATATATGTTGAACGTTAGTTATCCAAGAATGTGAACTAAATGTGGTGAATCTATGATTTCGATAGTTGTTTTATTTCATTTTATGATAGGCATGGTGTAAGTTGGCGGTAGGCATTGTGATTATTGTGTAACATCCAAATCATCCTCTCACTACCACTCGGAAATAGGCATTGCGATTATTGTGTAATTTTCAAGATAAAGAGCTTAAGATCACGGCCGACTACATGACTGGTTTAGGTTGATGTCGATGGTATTAAACCTGTAAGTGATGCTCTACAACATGGATTTATGACCTACTTTGTGTCCGTCATAATCAACGATAAATCGGGTCTTTCCCGTCATCCTCGGATGTTTTGGC